AACCATCAGGGCTAAATTGATGGCTGCTACACTTATGATTTAGTTCTAACTTCTCACACCTAATTCTCACTACCTCAAGAGGTTTGCTGGCAAGAGTTTATGGGGGTTGAGTATGCCAGTCTGTTATCAGGTTTTGACAGTGGTGCTCTGTGTTTCTGTTTGAAGTGGATTTTTGTGACTAGTTGCACAGCTCAACAGTGTTTTTTAAGTCTGTCTGCTTAATAGCCCATCATTCAAAGAAGACCAAGAGAATGCTGAAGGAAGAAAACATTTTTTTAATGAGGATTGGGAATTGCAATATTATCTTGTTTCTGCTAAAGATAAGATGATGTGCTTGCTTTGGGATACTGCAATATAAACATTAAAGAAACGTAATGCTCATCAGCATTACAACACTCATAAGGACCACAAAGATTTTAAATTAGAAGGAAAGGTGAGAAAGGTTGTGTTGCAGAAATTAAAAGACAAAAAGCAAAGCAAAGCAAAGTTTTTCAAGCAGCAATGAGGCCTGGAAATAATGTCACTGAAGCAACTTATAACATAGCTTATATACTTGGGAAAAAAGGGAAGCCATTCAGTGATATAGAAATTGCGAAGGAATGCATTGTCCAAGTTGTAGGATGCTTAGACCCCCATAACGTTTCTACATGCAAACAACTGCCTATTTTAAAGAGGACAATAACCGATAGGAAGCATGAATTAGCCTTCAACTTAATAGAACAACTGCAGGCAATACTTGAAAAGGAAAATATATATTATTCAGTTGCTTTGGATGAATCAACTGATACTACTGACTAGGCACAAGTTTTATATTTCATCCGGGTCATAACAGAAGATTTTCTTTGCTGTGAAGAGTTACTTGCTTTGGGCACTCTTGCAAACAACACAGGGAAGAGATATCTTCAAGAGCTTTCAAGATAAATGTTGTGAAGTTGGACTGAATTTGGTAAGTTTAGTGAGTATATGTAGACAGTTCACCTTCCATGACAGGAAAATATGAAGGGTTTATTGTACAGATAAAAAAATATTAACAGATCCAGATGCTGTCATTTCTTTTCATTGTATATTGTATCAGCAAAATCTCTGTGCTAAAGCTACTATTTTAAGTGACACTGCAATAAGTTATGTTTTGTTAACTATATTTGTGCAAATGCAACATGGCATCGTCTGTTTCCTAACATGCTAAAGTTGAATGATCAGGTATTCAGTGTGGATTTATGAAAAACAGAATCAGCAATGTGAATTACCAGAAGAAGATTTCTATAGGAATACAGCATTTTTGTGTGATATCCTGTCAAATCAAAATGACTTGAATATTTCTTTCCAAGGTAAAACTAAGTCTATATATGATATGTGGCAAAAAATCCAAGCATTTCCAAAAAAGCTACCTTTTATCAAAACACTTCTTCAAAAGGAAGTTTTGGATGAACATTTTTCCCAGTTAGCAATGGTCAATGATGAGCAGGATGATATATGTGAATCATGTGAAGAATACAAAGGTGTTTTAGACCTGTTAAGTGGAGAATACAATTAAAGATTCACTGACTTTGAGAATCATGACATCACACTCAAGTCAGCACTTAAGCCTCGCCTAGTTGATACCACCAAGGCACTAAAGAATTACAGATGGAAGCCGGGCGCGGTGGCTCACGCCTGTAATCCTAGCACTCTGGGAGGCTGAGGCGGGCGGATTGCTCGAGGTCAGGAGTTTGAAACCAGCCTGAGCAAGAGCGAGACCCCGTCTCTACTATAAATAGAAAGAAATTAATTGGCCAACTAATATATATATAAAATTAGCCGGGCATGGTGGCGCATGCCTGTAGTCCCAGCTACTCGGGAGGCTGAGGCAGTAGGATCGCTGAGCCCAGGAGTTTGAGGTTGCTGTGAGCTAGGCTGACGCCACGGCACTCACTCTAGCCTGGGCAACAAGCGAGACTCTGTCTCAAAAAAAAAAAAAAAAAGAATTACAGATGGAATTGATTGAGCTCTCAGTAGATAAAATTTTAAAGTCATTGTTTGATGCTAAGAAAGATTCAATTGAAATACAGAAAGATGCAGTAGAATACCTACCCCTTTGGCAACATGCCCCCAAAATGCTTTCATGCTTCTCAACCACTTATTGCTGTGAATCTAAATTCTCCTAGTAACCCAAATCAAGATGCCCTTAAGGTCACATATGACTGATACCCATCTAGAGGACCAACAAACTGCAGACCTTCATGCTGCAACCAAATATTCAAATGCTTTCCAACAAAAGCAGACACAACAGTCATTAAAAGGTTAGTTAACTTTAAAATTAACAAATAGTTTCCATTTTTTGAAATTATTAAGTACATAGTAGTTAGATTTTTTTTACAAAATAATGTACATTTTTAAGTATAACTAATTGAAGTTTTTTGAATGCAGCCTTATTTGATTACAGCTAAATTAATGCAGCCTTTCAACATCAAAAGGTTCCCCACCCCTGGTATAGCTTATTGCTCCTAAGCTACAAACCTGTACAGCATGTTATTGTACTGAATATCGTAGGTAATTATAACACAATGGTATTTGTGTCTCTAAACATAGAAAAGGTACAGTAAAAATACATATAATAATCTCATGGGAATAGTCTACATATGTGGTCTATTGTTGACTAAAACGTCATTATGCAGCACATGACTATTACTTCCTAAACTTGTGGCCTTCAGGCAAGTTTTACTTAGCCTCTGAGTCTGTTTCCTTTTTTTTTTTTTTTTTTTTTGTGAAATGGGAATTTAAAAATTCAATCTCAAAATGTTAGTGAAATTTAAAAGATATTATACATAATACACATACAGGAGAATCCTGACACTTAATAAAAGCTCAAAAAATGTTTTAAAGATATTTGTTTTATACAATACACATTACCTAAACAAACAATACAATAATCTGTGACCCACTTATATGTCTCTTTTCTTATCTGCAAAATGAATTCTCTAATTTTATCTTTTCATAGTACTTTGTTCTTTCCAGGGATAAGGAAAACTCCCATCTATTACTTGGCACATCAGCCACCTGAGACCCCCACCCCTCATGGAAGACCTGCATCAGCATAATACTAACCTATTACCTGGTCCAACAACTAATCTATTACCTGGTGCATCAACTAACCTATTACCTTAGCCATCTGAGAGCCCACCCCTCAGAACACCCCAACTTAATAAAAGAGGAAAATATCAGGTAGACGGAGCTCAGAATTTGGTGGCGAGACCCCTCTGAGCCCACCAGTGAATGAATAAACTTTAACTCTCAAACTCTCCATGTGCCTCTGGGTTTGTCCTCAGGACCACCCGCTGTAACACCTGCTGTAACACCAGCACTTCATTGTTTTAATTTAATGTTAATTAAATTTTCTAATTATTTTCCTGACAAAACTCTTAAGACTATAGCCGTTTTCCAAAGCTAGACTCTTGGCTCCATGAGACCAGTGACTTAAAAATTTACAGCTGATGTGCACTTTCTAGCAGTGTGTGGCTCTTAACATTCAATAAATGTTGATGAGAGGAATCAAAGTCAAACTTATCAAAGTTCATCTTTCAGGACTGTTGTGAAGGGCAAATGAATTGGTAAAGTGTTTCCTTATGAGAAAAGAAAAATGGCTGAGGGTGGTCTGAACTAAATTAGATGAGCAAAATTTATCAGGTCCAGAGAGACAATGAGTGTGGGACTTCACCTAAGCCAGGGGGAAATGGCTTAAAGGCTTTTTCTTTCTTCCCAGGGACAGCCTTATCCTTTAGCTCAAGGTCCTAGAATTTGTAACACAAAGAAACAGGAGAGCCAATCATCGGGTAGTTATTGCAGTGTGGTAAACAATTTAGGAACTGCCTCTTTTTTTTTCTTTTAAAAAGTTAGGTGGGGGGCGGGCGAGGTGGCTCACGCCTGTAATCCTAGCACTTAGGAGGCCGAGGGGGGCGGATTGCTCGAGGTCAGGAGTCGAAACCAGCCTGAGCAAGAGCCAGACCAGTCTCTACTATAAATAGAAAGAAAACTAATTGGCCAACTAATATATATAGAAAAAATTAGCCTGGCATGGTGGCACATGCCTGTAGTCCCAGCTACTTGGGAGGCTGAGGCAGCAGGATTGCTTGAGCCCAGGAGTTTGAAGTTGCTGGCGCCACAGCACTCACTCTAGCCTGGGCAACAAAGTAAGACCGGCTCAGAAAACAAACAAACAAACAAACAAAAAGGCGGAGTGGCTCACGCCTAACAGTGCTAACTCTAGCACACTGTGAGGCCCAGGCGGGCAGATAGTTTGAGCTAAGGAGTTCGAGACCAGCCTGAGCAAGAGCGAGACCCCATCTCTACTAAAAATAGAAAGAAATTAGCCAGACAACTAAAAATATATAGAAAAAATTAGCTGGGCATGGTGTCGCATGCCTGTAGCCTACCCCAGCTACTCCAGAGGTTGAGACAGAAGGATCCCTTGAGCCCAAGAGTTAGAGGTTGCTGTGAGCCAGACTGACCCGAAGGCACTCCCGAAGGCACTCCCGGCCTGGGCGACACAGTAAGACTCTGTCTCAGGAAAAAAAAAAGTTACTTGGTTACTTGTAAATGCTGCTAACCGGATCGTGTATTAAAGGGCAACTTGAGTCTACACTTACAGGTTGCACTCCTCAAACTTGGCAAGAATAAACGCTCTACTTATATCAATTTTGCCTCAGTTTTTATGTTGACAGTTATTTGTAAAGTTGTACAGGTGGGCTTACTATGATTAAGTATTAATTTAAGAGTGAGGTCAGGCGCGGTGGCGCACTCCTGTAATCCTTGCACTTTGGAAGGCCAGGAGTTTGAGACCAGCCTGAGCAACATGGCGAGACCCAGTCTCTACAAAAAGGCAAGTGCTGATAGAACCAGCTACTTGTCAGGCTGAGGCAGGAGGACGGTTAAGCTAGGGAGCTCGAGGCTGCAGTGAGGTACCATGATGCCACTGGACCGTAGACCGGGTAACAGAGTGAGACCCTTTCTCAAAAATAAAGGTACCATGGTAGGGGTTCTTAAAGAAAAGGAAAATGTGTAAGAAGGGGAACGGAAGCCAGAGACTCCCAGCACAATCTTGTAGCCTCCAGAAGATTCCAAAGGACCAGCGTGAACTCCAATATTTAGCAAGAGCGCGGCTCCTCAAGGTTCACAAGGGTTAAGTCTGTTGCCCGGTATTCCAAAAAGCAAGGCGGAAGCGCCTAGTGTGAACTTCGTTCAACTTCAACCTATAAGGTGGACCAGGCTGAAGTCACCTCACGCGGAGAATCTAGAATCCAGGCGCTCCCAAAGACCCTTTTCTCTCTCTCATACCCTCAGGGTCCCCTGGCCAAGCCGCCTGCCCCGCAGTCATCATCACCCCCCCACCCCAGCATCGGGTAGCTCCAGGGCCACGTGTCACTGGGGGCGTCTACCGAGCGCGACTGAAGAGTAGGCGAGCCCAGCCGGAGACTCGCCCAGGGTCATCATGGGAGTTGTAGTTTTTCTTGTGGGCACAGAAGGTTCGGATTCCCCTTGCTTTTGCCTGGCCATTAGCATATCTTTCGTGAAAGTCACTCAAACAGTGTATGCCCCCAAATAGATGCAGCCTAGATATCTTCAAAAGAAGATGTGAGGGAGAAAGAGCAAAGCGAGGAAGGCAAACCAAAAGATTATTGGCGAAGAAGAGAAAGGGTTAACAGTTACCACGCATGCGCACAGGAGGCCCCAACAAGAGGGCGGGGACCGAAAGACTACTCCTAGATCCGTGTTTTCCCCGGAAGTGCCTTCGCTCCTACCGGGTCTGCACGGACGCAGCTTCCTTACCTCACTTGTCTTCGCCCCTCCCCGTCCCTCTACGCGTTTTGGATCCTGGTTGGTGCTTCCTGGTTGCAGCCACAGCAGTGAGTATGTGTGTGACGGACTCCGAGCCGCCCGCGGCTGGGGGAGCCCTGCCCACCCTCCGTCTCGCCGGCCGGGCGGTGGAACGAGCGCGTGTCTCCTCGCCGGCCTCTGCGTCCCAGTCGGTCCTCCACTCGTGGCGGGGCGCAGCTCATGGTCCCTCAGCCGCGCGCCGCCCCGCGCGGCTTGGGGCTGTCGGGATGGGGTCCTCTTCTCCATGCTTCTCCAAGGCCCGCGGCTGTGGTTCAAGAGGGGCTGGAAGTCCATAGCCTCGGTCGGGGTGGTGTTTCCGGCCGTTTTACCTCCCTGTAAGGTTCCACGCGGAGGTCCCGCCGCGCCGAACGGGAATCTTTTGAGGACTGAGTAGTCCTGGGCCAACTTTCGCCTTTTTTGTCAGAAGCTGCGGGTGCAGCTGTGGGACCAGAAATATTTTGGGAGCTGTGTCCTTCCCTCACGTAAAACAAGGAGACATGAGCTATGTTTACTAAGATTCTCTTTATCCCACACATTCCGTGAGCCGACAGCTGCTTTCAACTTCAGGGAAGAGCTGCCGCTGCAGTGGAGAAACTGGCTGAGTCTCAGCAGGCCTGGGTTAGACACGGCTGCACCACCGACTCGGTGGTGACTTTGGAAATCTCGTTTAGGCTGAATTTACGATTGTTTTAGATTACAGGATTGAATTAGGGGATCTTTGAGGGCCCCCCCCCCTTTTTTTTTCCGAGCTCAGTGAATAAGTTTCTCTGAGCCCGTTTCTCCAGGTACAAAATGAGCGTTTAATTTGATGACTCTTTTAGGACACTTCAAAAGCTCTTGACTTTGTGTTTTGAGTACTTAGGCTATCACATCCATAGACTTTTAATTGGATTGTGTGTATTTAGGATAGTATTATGCTTTGGGGACAGGTTAGCCTTGTTTTCAAGAGAATCTGAAGGCAAAGAAAGACCTCAGGAAGAATTGGAGCTGGAGATTATGTGATAACTCTAAGGGTAAGGGAGTGCATGGTAGAAGGAATAGGGCTGAGGAAAGATGAAGTGTTTCCAGATAGGGGTAGTTGTCATAAAAAGCATGTATGTGTCCCAAGAACAGCTAGGACTTGTGTGACTAAATTTAGCATAATTTTCTCCAACCAAGATACTGTATTTTGCCTTCCTCTCTTTTGTGACCTTTGTTTCACACACTTGGTTTCTTCTCTATCCCAGCCAGATTTGATTCAAAGTGGCAGCCACTTTTGAAGAATGGATAGACATTTTAACCCTGTAGTCAACTGTTTTTCATCTGTCATTGTCAGGGCAGCTCAAGAGTAAAGAAGAAATTTAAGTTAAAAATAAACTACATATTAATCACATTCTAATGAAAATTGGATTTAAAATGAAATTGGATTTGCTTTAAATCTGCCTGAGATGGATGCCTATGTCATCAGGAAGGAACATCTAGGTGAAAAGTGCTTTGGAAGGAAATAAGACCAAAATGTCCAGAATGACCAGTAGGTAGACTGTTAGAGCAGAAGGATTGGCTTTAAAGATTGTATTAAGTAAATTCTAAAATCTTAAATAAGCCTTAAGTTGTCCAGCTTGAAAAAACTCAGTGAATTTTTGAATGGTGAGAGCCTGTGTAGTTATTCTCTGTAGCTCTTTTATGCTTAAACTATTTTAACTATCTTTAAATAAGTGTCATTCCTATGATAGTTTAAGTTCTTATATAGGAAACATCTTTTTTGGTCATGGGATTGATAGTTTTTGAGTACCAATTTGGGAGGTTCTTGGATGGTAAACTGACAAATTTAAATACATGCTTTTCCTTCCAGTTAAAATGCCTCTTTCATACTTTTCATACTCCACTGGGACATAAAATGGATGTTGGTGAGGTAAATTTAAGTGTTAGAATCAATGCAATTATGGCAAATGAAGGATTTTTTGTTTTTAAAAATATTAATTTGAAATTATTTATTTGGAAAATTTTGTTTCAAAATTTTAGTGAAAACTCGACTGAGAGTCAGAAATGTGAATCAATTCTGGCTGGTTGTTTTTTTTTTTGAGACAGAGTCTCGCTTTGTTGCCCAGGTAGGGTGAGTGGTGCCATGGCGTCAGCGTAGCTCACAGCTACCTCAAACTCCTGGACTCAAGCAATCCTGCTTCTTCAGCCTCCCGAGTAGCTGGGACTACAGGCATGTGCCACCATGCCCGGCTAATTTTTTCTATATATATTAGTTGGCCAATTAATTTCTTTCTATTTATAGTAGAGACAGGGTCTTGCTCTTGCTCAGGCTGGTTTCGAACTCCTGACCTTGAGCAATCCGCCTGCCTCAGCCTCCTAGATTATTACTAGGATTACTAGATTACTTGCTAGGATTACAGGCGTGAGCCACCGTGCCCAGCCAATTCTAGCTGTTTTTAAACAGCTGCATAACCTTGGCTAGGGCTATCTTTTTTTTTTTTTTACCTTAGTTTCCTGATAGGTAGATTGAGGAGGCTGTGTATGATAATCTGATTTTGTTATCCAGTTAAGTGTGCTTGGGAATTGGGTATAGGATCAAAATGCTGAGAAAGCCTTCTGAGTCAAAGTGTGTGTGTGTGTGTGTTTGTGTGTGTATAAAAAATATATTGTCCTCTAAGTATACACTTTAAAAAAAAAAAGTAAATTAAATGCATTTGAATGTAATTAAAGCAATAACATAAACCAAAACAGCCTCAGGCAAACTTTAACCCTGGCACATAAAAGAGCAGGTTATAGGGTAGTACAATTTTCAAGTACAGAGGCAAGGTACAAAATCCTCTTAAAGGCCATAGGGGCTAAATTGTTAAATTCATTTTTCTACATTTCAGGGAAAGAGATAAATCCTTAGACCCAAGGAAGTCAGTTTTTATTATGGTTCTGTAGTTTATTTTTGGCATACATTCACAGGTGTGCCTGTGGCTCTATTCTTAATCCCTTTCCTTTGGGATGGCTCCAAGAATAGTACAAATTTGTCACTATGTAATTTACCTCTTTAATTTTTTCTGTGCTGCACTGGAATTATGTTTTATCTTAAGTTCACACTGGATCCTCAGGATGGATCCAGTGAGGATTTTGAAGGAAGCATAATTCCTTTGACTTCTTTTAGAATTAATTTACCTATTAAATAAAAGGAAAGGATTCATCTTTTATTTGAATTCCTCTGAGGCTAACATTTCAATATAAACTGATAAATGCCATGAGCATTATTATTCAGACAGCCACATTCAACTTGTATTACAATAACAGCATAGCAACCTGAAGGACAGTGCTAGAAAGGAACAGGTATATTGTACCTTTTAGAAGAAAAAAGGCATTAAAAGTTGGTTTTTTTGTTTTTGGAAAACAAAAACTCTAGCATGAGTGTAGTGCGTTTTTGGCTCTTTTTCATTTGATTCTTGGGGTCAGTGGTTCTATTATCAAAACTGCCATCACAACTCCCTGACATTTTGGGCAAAGGTTTGGGAAACTAAAAAATTGACTATTCTTTCTTAATTATATCTGTATAGCTAAAAGTGGAAAATAAATAAAGAATAAATTATTATTGTTATTATTCTTTCTAGGCTGTCCCTGATTTTTGAACAAATGTAACTTATTTTTCCAGAGCTTTCATTTTGACCAATATTCATCAGTGCCTAATGGCAACATTTCCTGTATACATTTTTGGTTGGTGATAGGAGAATTTAAGACTTTGGAATAGTTGAAGACAACTGAGAAATTCACCCCATCATAATTGCTGTATTTTAAACACATGTTGAACTTATCAGAGCTGAAGAACAAATGCCTGATGATCTAATTCATTTATTTATTCATTCACTAATTCAAGAAACATTTATAGATGTGGCCCTAAATGCTAGTTACTCTGCTTGGCTTTGGTGTTCCATTGTTTTTAACAGAATAGGTGTAGTTCCTGCCCTCCTGGGGTTTGTGATCTTTGCTTCTGGGAGATTTACTTTGCATAAGTAATTAGAAAGGTGATGACTGTTTTGAAATGTTAAGTGCCATGGAAGCCTATAAAAGGGGCACTTAATTTAGTCTGGTTGAGGAGTGATGTTTATGCTGAGTTGAAGCCTGAGGAGGCTTTAATTCACTGTAGAAAGTAAAGTATTTCACTTTATGCATTTATTCCCAATGCTGGGAGTTTTGCCTCAGTTTTAGGTCTTAATTATTAAGTTTGTATTTCACATACATTTTTATAACTAGCATGGAAGTAAGCAGGTTTTTCAAATATTTTTATGTGTTCTTTTGGCCAAGAATCTTAAGACCATGAGATTAATTTGTTAATTGAGAATAAACATCTACACCCAAATAATAAATGTGATGATTTTTTTTCCTGTTGTGGATTTTAGTTATAGTTGAAGCATACCTGAAAAAGATGAGATAGAGTACCAGAATCAAGGAGAAGATGAAGGATGAATGGAATACTGAGAGCTGCTGAAAATCATTTTGCAATTTTTAACATTTTGGAGAACAAGTGTTTGGCGTCAAGCAGTGGATCTCAACCTGTTTTTCCTTTCTAATATATCTTAGAAATATGATATAGTCATATACTACATGATGATGTTTTGGTCATCTGTGGACCACATTTATGGCAGTGGCCCCAGAAGATTATATAATTCCATATTTTTACTGTGCCTTTTTGTATGTTTAGATACACAAATACTTGCCATTGTTACAGTTGCCTACAGTATTCAGTACAGTAACATGCTGTACAGGTTTGTAACCCAGGAACAATAGGCTATACCATATAGCCTAAGTGTGTAGGAGGCTGTACCATCTAGGTTTGTGTAAGTTCACTCTATGATCCCATACTGATGAAATCGCCTAACAACACAATTCTCAGAATGTATCCACGTTATTAAGCAACACATAGCTGTATTTCCATTAATAACTATAACTTGATTTGTCAGTAGTTATTCTCATTTGAGAAGGGTGGGCATTATTACAGTAGGTCATAACAAGATTTAGAAATCTTGTGTTTGAGGATAGGGATGGCCTTCACATAGAAGTTGGCTCTTAGGGGTGATATTGTATGGTAAATAGGAATGATCTGAACTTTTGTAATACATTCTTTGTATGACTTTCTCTTTTACAGCATCGAAGTTACTGACTTTCCATGATGTTTGGTGGCTACGAGACTATAGAAGCATATGAAGATGACCTTTATCATGAAGAGTCATCCAGTGAACTGAGTGTTGACAGTGAGGTTGAATTTCAGCTATACAGCCAAGTTCATTATGCCCAAGATCTTGGTAACATTATCAAGGAGGAAGAATGTGAAGAAGAGAATGCTGGTAATTTTGAATCATCAACTACTAAACCAGATCAGAAGAACTTAATTGTCCTTTCAGATAGTGAGCCCATCCAGCTATCAGATGGGTCAGAAGTCATCACTTTGTCTGATGAAGATAGTATTTACAAATGTAAAGGAAAAAATGTTAGAGTGGAAACACAAGAAAAGGCCCAAGGTCCTTCTGCTACTCTTCATTCTAATGAGTTGGCTAATAAGGAATGTGAGAGGGATATTGAGAAAACTAAACCTGAAAAGAAATCAGGTGTAACCCGAGAGGTCATGATTATAGAGGTCAGTTCTAGTGATGAGGAAGAGAGCACTATTTCTGAAAGTGATAATGTGGAAAGCTGGATGCTACTGGGAAGTGAAGATGATGATAAGGATGATGATATTCTTCTCAACCTTGTGGGATGTGAAGACTCTGTGTCTGAAGGTTAGTATCATATTGGCCATTTTGAAAGTAGTATCATCTTTAATATGGAAGACTGCTTTTCCTAGACAAAAGACCAATAGGGTCTATTCCATTTAAATCTTCACCTTTTGGTCTTGTTTTTTGGCTTGTTTCTCATGTGACTCTCTTACCAGTGGCTACTCTAATGGTGGTCTGTCTGATCATCAGGAGTATGTCAGAATACCAAAGACACTCTGCTTCTACTGTAAGCAGATTCATAGCTGCTGCCTCTGTTTGGCTAGAGCCAGTTCTGGACCTGAAATCTTACTTCCCCTCTCTCTGCTTGGTATCACAGGTGAGTACTCTATCTACATCTACCATTGGCCCTGTGCTCTCCTTCAACCAACTCTGTTAGGACTGCCTCTTGCTAAGGGATTTGCTTACTCGGGAATTAGCCAATTAGTAAGCATGGGGAATGCCTGGTACACAGAAGATACAGAATTAGTAGTAGGCTTTTAGGAACTTCACAGTCAGTAAGACAGGAAAATATTAATATGAAGAGCTGTAAGTCTAGGGTAAATTGTAGGAGAGAATGCAAATTCTGAGAGCTACATCATGGTGGATTAAAATTTTGGTATTAGCTTTGTCTCCTCTGTCACATGTAGTTAGCTAGTCTTAATGCTTATTCCTTTCAAAAGTTCCTTCCTTTCATTTCCCTCTCTTTATGTCTAATGACTAGTCTCATGCAGTAGTTTCCTAAATGGTCTTCTTTTATATCTGCCGTACAAATGCACATTACTATTTGATTTGCTGGTAGGCTGTTGTTAAGCTAGTAGTCTTGAAATGCTTTTTTTTTTTTTTTTTAATGCTTTTTATTCATGGTACTTTAATAGTGTTCCAGAATCTTTAATGGCACCTTGCTTTTCTCAGAGGAAATGATCATGCTTGGAGCCCCAGGGATTGACAGACTTTTTAAAGGAGCCGGGAAGGAAATATTTTAGGTAGGAAATATTTTAGGCTTCTAGGCCATATGATCTCTTAACTATGCAACTCTGCTCTTTTGGGAAAGCAGCCTTAGGTAATACCTATAGAAATGGCAGTGGCTATTCTAGCAAAATCTTATTTGCAAAAACAGGTGACTGGCTTAGGCTATAGTTTGCTAACCCTGAGAATTTGATAGCAAAAGGAAGAAAAGAGGTAGAATAGTAGTTAGAACATAGAGCAGAATCAAGTATTTTTGTCCAAATAAGGGAGATCTGATAATGTTTTTAGGTAGAAAGGAAGAAACTTGAGGAAAGAGAGACTAAACCTGTTAGATAGATCAAGTTAGGGGCTCCAGGTAAGAGATAGAATCAGGTATATATGTTGTTGAATTAGTCTTAGGAAGAGATACACCAGTAATTACTAAATTATCAGATATTTCTAGAAGTATAGAATAAATAAATTCAGATGGATTGAGGTGGGTGAGAGAACATGAGGATGTGTATGATTTTCCTGGAAAAATGAAAGCAGAAGTGGGAGAAGGCAGAGGATAATTAGAAGCTTAGAGTGTGGATATTTAAGTGCTATTGGGAATACTCTTCAGGCAGTGGTTACCAATATTTTGAAGATGACAATCTCTATAACTTCGAAACAATTTGTGGGACCCTCGCCCCATGACTGTACTTGTATTTTTAGTTTTTATTGAGAAAATTCATATTGGAGAAAAGCTACTATTCAGTACTCCTACGTGACTTTATATTTTATTAACCACAACATTGACTGCATATTTGAAAAATGTTAATTCATATATGTGAGAGATAGTCTTTATATAATATATGCTTCTGGGTACCTTCTGAGGTAGCTAATTCTGCAGCTCCCCAGTAGTCTGAAATTTATAGGTTGGAAATTGTTGCATGCTAATGAATCAACAATAAGAGAATAAAGGATTGCTTAGGAGTTGTATTCATTAAAAATTAAAATAATATGAACTTGTAGTGAACTCACTTCGAAGGATTCTCCACCTTTATCTGGCAATTCTCGGCAGCTTGGAGCAAGAGGACAGAAACCAAATGATCCAGGGTTAGGCATAACATCATAGAAGACCATTTGGCCTGTTCTTTTTCTAAATTGCCTTCCCTGAGATCATACCTAGTTTCATTAATCATGTTTTACTTATTGTCATCAAATTGGCATTTACTTTTCTTAACCATTTTGTTGATTTCTAGTTCCCCTTATATACCTTACTGGTATTTCCATTAGGGTATCTAATGTTTCTGATTTAACATACTGAAAAGAAGGCTTGACAAATTGAAGCTTGTTATCTTTCCTTTGAAACCAGCTCTCTATGGCTTTCTGCTTTGCACTAAAGAATCTTCAGAGATGCTAAAGTTGATGGCAGAATGTGGATAGGTTGGGAAAAACATGAACTAGGTGCTGAATTCATTGAAGAATTTGGAACTGTGTCATGACTATGGTAAAGGATGGTGATGAGAAATTGGAAAACTTGATTTACCTGATGATATGGGCCTAAAGGGGAAGTAGAATGATGATAGTAATGGACATGGTATGGCACTGGAATAAGAGTGGTGATGTGGCCAGGGTGAGAAATGAGAAGCAAAATTCTCATTTTGTTTAACGGGATGGGAGCTAGTTGGAGATAAAGTGTCTATGAAAGAGGGTTACTATTTACATGGTATTGTTAGCAAAAAGCAGGTATAGTTAAAAAGGAAGTATATGGAGGAGGTTCATTTATGAATATTTTATTGTGTAAGTGTTGGGTCACGGAAAGGAAAGGTAGTCTTAAAGGATCACATTAAAATCCATTGACGGATTTTAAGCAGACAAGTAACATTCACATTTTTAGTTTGGAAAGAATTCTGGTGACTGCATGGAGGTTGAATTGTAGAGTTAGCAGTTTTAAAGATGGGATGGGTGGATAGGCTTTCTATTATAATAATCTGGACTAAAAGCGATGAGGACAGAATAAAGCTAGGTAGTGTTAGTGGGTGTAGGAAGGAAATGGATTTGAGAGAGAGCTTTAGTTGGGAGTGTGGACATAACTTGGTAATTTATTGGATGAGGTATAGAAGATTATTTCAAAATCATAAAGCTGAGGAACACAAAGGGAGCAAGTTAACTGGTAGCTGACTCAATGTAGAACAGGGGTTTCTGGAGCAAAATGAAGGATTGATAGAGTGATAGGATGGAGTCAGGGCAGCTAAGCCATATGCAAATGAGGATTCTAGAGGAAGGGAAATGATGGATTTTGTCAGGTATGTCTTAAAGGATTGAAGAAAACGTTAGTAATCAGCTATATAAAGAAATCTCTGGGAAAACAATTTTAGTATTTTGTATTAAAAATAGACAAGAAGCCTGTCTGTTTTTGACCTGCGTTTTTTGGGAGGGGACATTTATATTTGTTTTTACTGAGGTGAAATTCATATAACATAAAATAAACTTTAAAGTGTTCAATTTGGTGGTATTTAGTACATTCACAATGTTGTGGAACCATTACCTCTGCAGTTCGAGAACATTTGTACTATGTCCAGCTGAATGGATCCTGTACTTATTGAGCAGCCATTCCTGATTCCCTCCTCCTTGCAGCCCCTGGCAACCACTAATCTGCTTTCTATCTCTGTGAATATATTTATTTTGAATATTTTATGTAAATAGATGGAATCATCTAATATATGACCTTTGTGTTTGGCTTCTTTCACTTAGCATAATGTTTTGGAGGGTTATGCACATTGTGGCATATGTAAGTACTTCATTGCTTTTTAGAGCTACATGATATTTCATCATATGGATCATCTGTTGATGGACATTTGGGTTGTTTTGACCTTTGGCTATTTTAAATAGTGCTCTACTGTTATAATAGTTCACAAACAGTAAACATTTGTGTACTAATGTTTATTAGAAAATCTGTTTTCACTTCCTTGGGGTATATACCTGGAAATGGAATTACTGGTAATTCTGTGTTTAACTTTTTGAGGAACCTCTGTTTACCACAGTGGCTGTGCCATTTTACATCCACACCAATAGTATACCATGGTTCCAATTAACTGAATATTTTTTGAGACAGAGTTTTTCTACTTTTCATAGAGACAGGATCTCGCTCTTGCTGAGGCTGATCTCAAACTCCTGAGCTCAAGCAATCCTCCTGCCTTGGCCTCCCACAGTACTAGAATTACAGACATGAGCCACTCCTCCTGGGCCAACTGCATTGTTTTTCATGATAACTTGTCATGTTGCACATTACTATTTGATTTGCTGGTAGGCTGTTATTTCTCATAATTCTTTATCTTAGCATTTTGTTTTTATTGTTTGTTGTAGTTTATGTTGGCTTGTATTTTTCTAGAGTGGCTTTTATTGCATCAGATTTTTCCTTATGTTTTTCACCCATTTATAGTTTTTTAAAAAACTGATTCATCCATATAGACGTGTATTCCTTTAAAGTTTTTTTTGTATGTATATAAATTTATACCATTTTTTCTGCAACATAAGTAAAAATATTTGGTGTAAGACCTAAGTAGTTCCAGACATTCAGTGTATTTTCCTATTATTTATATTGCCATTATCCCTACTCTTTGATTCTAGGATTTGTGGTGGTGGTTTTTAAAAAATTTTTTGGTGTTTTTTTTTTTTTTTTTAGCGAATTAGAACCAAGTTCTTCAATCCTGAAAATTAACTTAGTTGGCTCTTATAAAGTCTTACTACTCAAATATATATTCTTTATATTATTTTCTTGAGCTGCTAATGCTATAATCCTTATTTTCCAATTTTAAATGATATAATCAGTACTGATAACCATTTAAGTGTACTCTGTAGTCATTATGATCCCTTTCATAAATAGATCTGGGGATAGATCTGGTTCATGTAAAAATCTTTAAAGAGAATATTTTTTTTTTGGCTGGGCACGGTGGCTCACACCTGTAATCCTAGCACTCTCTGGGAGGCCAAGACGGGAGCCTGAGCAAGAATGAGACTCCGTCTCTACCAAAAATAGAAAGAAATTAGCTGGACAACTAAAAATATATATAGAAAAATTAGCCAGGCATGGT